TTTGAGTTTGCATTGGCGCACTTATTTTTATGTTTATCATTATATCGCTTTTGTCAATTGCTCATTGTTTATATTGCCCACTATCTTATTTATCTTGTTTATAGATTGTTTACCCTTGTGTTATTTATATATCATTGCATATATTTTACCATATATCTCATTGCTAGGATATATCCCTTTGTTCATAATGCATATTCTTGCTCATATCATATTGTATATCTATCTCACAAGAATAATTCTTGAATAAGTTTTAATTGGCATTTAAATCAGATTAGATTAGCATAAATCCTATTCAACCCTCATTTAGGGTTCTTTCCTAGTGACATTAGGGTCTAACATGTATTTGTTCTTATTTCTATTGTCTATGTATCTCAAATATGCATTTATATATCACTGTCATCTTATTAAGTCGATCTAAGATGAGATGAGATGGGAAAGAAGGACAAAAAGGTCATTCGTATCTTGTATCGTATCTATTAGAATATGAATATAGTTATATTGTGTGTGTGTGTGTGTACATATATACATATATATGTATATATGTATATGTACACACACACACATTTGTATTCATATTCTAATAGATAGAGATACAAGATATGAATGACCTTTTTGTCCTTCTTTCCCATCTCATCTCGTCTTAGATCGACTTAATAAGATGATAGTGATATATAAATGCGTATTTGAGATACATAGACAATAGAAATAAGAACAAATACACCCTCACATAATAGAAAAATGATATGCAATGCTTCAACTACATTTATGCATTCATGAAAATATTAATAGTCACAAGTATTGTAAAGCTCTTCGTAAAACAATACATTGAGTGTTTCAAAAAATTCAAAAAAAAAACGAAAAAAAAAAGAAAATTAGAACATGATACCACTTAATCAAAAAATTCAATCATGTACGAAATTTCACCAAATTCTAAAATTCACATAAAAATTATTCAAAGGTATATAGGAGAGAAAAGAGCACAAGTTCACATTAAAAATTCATAGAAAGTAATCACAAAAGATCAAAAATTAATCATGAAATACACGAACACAAGAGAAAACATGTTAAATTATATACATAAAAGATTAAATGTATGTGTAAAGTGGGTGAAATAGATAGTGAAGAGACTTATACTAGTTCATAAGACAAATTTAGGTACATCAAAATGACAGATGAGCAATAATAAAAATCAAACTATCTCAACCTTAGAAACTAAGGACAAAAGTATCGCCCTATCACCTCAACCATAAAGAACTTAGAAGGAATAACGATATTATTTGGTGAGAGATTCACACCATCTCTAACTATATAATATATTCATTATAGGATGTCTGCCCTTTGAGATATGCACAAACACAAATCCATCTGTATGGGCCTTTGACCATCTTTAAACAAATACACTCAATTTTTCATGGATTTCATAAGAGTGTAGATATTTGATTATCTTTTAATGAATACTTTCTTATTGTTTATATTTTTGATAGAAATGCACTTTTCTATATATAAAGGTAAGTTCGGGCATTAGGCAAGTCAAAATACTCAAAAACATATAATATAACCTGAAATATCTAAGAACATAATATAACACTCTATCACCGCTATTTCACAATATAAAACATGATAATTATCTAATGTAGGTGTGTAGAATAATATGTGAAATGTCTTGTGCAAACAACATGTCGTATTACCATCAGTTGATCATTGTGTGCAAAAATACATACATATAGATTGAAAAACACATGTGAACTTTTGTGTCATAATCAAGCCTATATACCAAAAGAATAATCTCAGCTGAATTAGTCCTGTAAAAGCATATATATATGCATCTTCAAATTTTTTATATTAAAGAAACCAAAAAGAAAGAAAAGGAAATTTTTATTTTGTTCTCATATTGAAAAATAAACAAAGGAAAAAAATAAAAAATCAAACATGAAAACATAAAGGAAATGAAATAAATAAAAATATGTGCATACAATTTTTGGGGCTACAAAATATACCTTTACTTACCCATTTGAGAAGATTTGCTGAAACAATCATTTATGCAAGATGTGTCTTTGCAATAAATTATTGCTTGTATAACAAGACCCTTTTTTGCATGTATCAGCAGCTTTTCATTTTATCTCACCAACTCTAAGAATTTTACCTTGTTTGTTATTAAAAAAACTACATACATTCTTCTCTTGGTTAGGCTAAGAAACATATTTTTATTTTCTGAATATGCCTTGAGCAACCAAAATGGATGTTACTTTGCTCGTAGACTTCTCGTACACCTACATAAAATAGAAAGGTGTGACCTAGGTATCTACATAGGTTCATGTTAGTTAGTAATTGTGTCTTTAGATACCCAAATCTTCTTAACTACTTTAACTTATTAAATTTAATAATTTATTGAAATATGACCTATTCTACCACACAAAGTACAAATGGTAGAAGATGCATTAGAAATGAGTGCAAATAAAGTTAAGTTATTTCTTTTGATAAAAGAAGGTTGAAGCTTTTTATGTTTATCTGAATAATGAATAATCAAATCTAGTTGTGACTTTTGCAAATTGTTAATTGGAAAGGACCATATTTAAGCCTTAAGAACCCAATGAAAATTTTTATGGCATTTTTCAAATCAATATTTTTAGAATTTAGTTGTTCATTTTTAAAAACTATAGTAGTACCCCTAGTTTTAAACTTTCTTTGTTCAAAAGATAACTCACAAAAAAGCTCATTTACCCTCACAATTGATGATTCGTTTGTCCTTTATTTTTTAGTTAGTTGCTTGGATAAATCAGAATTCATGTCTCTTAGATGAAACATTGTATGCATTCAAAAAGATATTTTTACTTATATTCTTAGATGTATTACACTCTAAAGAATTTTTTTTAACTTTATCAAAAAAATTATTATCATTCTTTAAACTTGAATTCACCTTTTTAATAGCTTTATATTTTTATCAAGTTTTTCAAATTGACGCAGTATTTCATTATATTTATAATATAAATCACCATATGTAGGGTATAATACCTCTCTATCACATCTTCATGTTCAGATTCATCTGAATTGCTATCTTTAACCATGAGACAACAATGTGCACTTTTGTCATCATCGCTCGAGCTACTTTCTGACTCATCCCATGTGATCACTTTGGAATTTTTGCCCTTTCCTTTATAGTCATTTTTATTCATTGGACAATTTTTTTTAATTAATCGGGATTTCTGCCCTGAAAAAAGTAATTATATTTATTTACCTTGCTTGTATATTAATCTTGTTTGTCTTGTAGGAATTTTTTATCATCATTTGATTTGAAGAAGAATTCAAAGCCTATAATAATTTGATCTATATTATTATCTTTCTCACTTTCGGAACTCGAGCTTACACCCATGTTAGCCTTAGCCTTTGATTTTTTTTCTTTTCTCTTTCAAAGCTAATGAATTTTTCTTGTAGTTATTTTCTGAATTATGTTCTCTTTCTTTCAAACACACTTCCTATAATAAGAAGATTTCTTATAAAATTCGCAAGAGTTAGTTTAGAAAAGTTTTACAATTTTTTAATAGCCATTATTATTTTTTCCCAATCCCTAGAAAGAGAACGAAGAATTTTCCTCATAAGCTCCCTGATATCCTCTTGCTTTTCCAAAGCCTTTGACTTGTTAACAATGTCCGTAAATCGGGTGAATGTATCCTGAATACTCTCTAAGGCCTTCATTTTGAATTTTTCATACTTACTCACTAGAATTGAAAGTTTCACCTCTATACTTGTGGAGTTCCTTCGTGTGTAGCTTCCGAAAATATTCAAATTTCCTGCATAGTAGTACAATTAAACACACAGTTAAATTTTTTTTAGTAGTTAAAGAGTAGTAAAGAGCATTCATTGCTTTTACACTCAAAGAATAAAGCTTTTTGTCAGCAGCAGTCCACTTATCTTTTAGGGTAACAGCAGTGGTCTCAACTACAACAATTATAGGTTCACTATAGCCATTTTCTATACTACCCTAAACATTAAAATCGGTGGACAATGAAAAGATTTTCATGTGCTCTTTTCAATGGGTATAGTTTGACTTATCCAGAAGTGGCAGTTGGTTAATAGTGTGTCCCTCAAGAAAAGTCATTGCAGCTGTCAAGCTATACATCTCTACCCTATGTTGTAAATCCTAAAATTGGGTAATGAGGCTTTAATACCACTTGATGGATTTGAGATATAATTCTAAAGGGGGTGAATAGTATTGCTACCTATTTTCACTAAAACTTAGAACATGCAATAAAAAATACCAAATAAAAGTGATAAATAAAATAACAATCATCAAAAGCAACCAACCAAGAACACATAAAATTTTGTTGTAATTTGAATAAATGATCCTACATCCATTCTTCTTTCTCATGAAGGGGTTTCCTCACTATGATAAGAGTTCACCAAAACCACAAACCGGATTCAGCAAGCTTACAAGACGACACTCTGGTATATACGCGAAACCAATCGTCTAAACTAACTTCTGCAATGAGTAACTCCTAATCCTACCTAGTCCCAGTTCTTAATTCAACCGACCTTAGTACGCCATAAAGAAGTTCAAAGTAAAACCAAATATAAACAATTAGACTTAGAATAAAAGACCGATCTTACAAGTCTTTCGATAAAACAAATTGTCCCTCGAAGAATATAAGCAAAGCTTGATGAAGAACATTGAAGAAGACCAATCCAAGGACAACTCTCATCGTTGAGACGTGTTGTGCGTGTCGAGTAAGAGTTTGACGAGGCTTCGGAGAATCAAAATTTTCAACTTGATCTATCAAATATCAAACCCTAGAACTCTCTCTCTCTCTCTCTCTCTCTCTCTCTCTCTCTCTCTCTCTCTAAGTTATAATCTCACAATTAGGTCAGGAAAAAGATATCCCATACATGGTATAAGTTGGAGTATATAAATAATGAACGACTATGATTAAATCTATAAATTTGCATTCTGCCGCCTTTACCATCAATGGTGCTTCTTGACCATTGCTGATGTCGAGAGACCATCGATGGTTGAGAAGCCCATCGATGATATTCTTGTCTCTGGACTTTTGCATCATCGCAGAGTCATAGTACTATCGATAGTCACTATTCACCATCGATGATCAATGACCTACCATCGATGGTGGTGCTACTGAAATTAGCTTTTGAATTGACTTTCACATCGTTTCACCTCATATATGTTTCATACATGTATTTGCATGTACAACACCATCTCAAACCAATATTAGTACCAAATGAAAGTTTATTATTACTCAAATAAAAGATATTGTATGGACTATGTCACATCTCTCATTCTCTATTTTATCTAATAATAAATTAATAAAGTTAATGAACATAGTACATTAGTAATATTGGAATTTATGGGGTGGGAAAATCAATCCTCAAGATTTGGGAATAAAATAGTTAATATCTAGATCTGAGGGCAAATATTAAAACATATATTTTTTACAGGTATATATGCAAAAAACCCATATAATATAACGTCCTACTCAAGAACAAATCTAATAGGGGTGAAAAGATATGACACAATGTTATTGGCGGAAAAGAGAGGGAAAAAAATTAGTACTTAGAAGGTAGAGACTAATGCGATATTGGAAACCAAAGAAAAATATTGATAATAAAATTTTAATTTAAGTGGGCATCCACGTAGAGTTTCCTATATGAACATGAGCATTCATTTGACCGTGAATTATAACCTATAGAAAAAATAGTAAAAAAGGAATTGCATACACATCTGTCATGTGCCACATCATATGCATAGATATATGGTACTACTATTTTCATTTTAGGGCAAAACTAAGAGCCTGTTTGGTTCCCTTGTACTGAAACACATGAAATGCATAGTAGGCAGTAATGCTTTATCTAGCTAAGCATAATAGCTATAGTAGAATCAGCCCAAAACACTTCATTTTGTTGGGGGAGATTTTAATGCCATTACTAATGGAGATGAAAGGTTGGGAGGTGCACCAGTTACAGGAGCTGACACTGAAGATTTTCAGCAATTTATTTCCTCTAGTCAACTAGTGCATATCAAGACCACTGGGTGCTTCTATACATGGAACAACAAACAAGAAGCTGAAAGTAGAATCTGGAGTAGATTAGATAGAGTTTTGATCAATGAGTTATGGATCATGCAATATACATCAAGTCAGGCAGATTTTTTACAACCAGTCTGTTCTGATCATTCCCCAGCTCTTCTTACAGTTGGAGATGATGATTTTCAGGGCAAGAAGCCATTCAAATTCTATAAAATGTGGACTAAGCACACTGAATACCTCCCTTTAGTCAGATCTATTTGGCAGCAGGAAGTGCAAGGTTATTATATGTACAAACTGTCCTTCAAGATGAAAATGCTCAAACCTGCACTCAAAGAATTAAATAGAAGACATTTCATGAATATCAGTGAACAGGTATTAAGAGCCAAACAGGAGCTAACTGATATTCAAAATAGGATCAGCACTGATCTATTCAACTCTCACCTCATCTCCAAAGAAAAAGATTGCTTAAAGAAATATACCAATCTGCTTCAATGTGAAGAATCTTTTTATAGACAGAAAGCAAGCATTAAATGGGCTATTCAAGGAGACAAATCCTCTCACTTCTTCCATTCAGCCATGAAATAGGGAGGAAATAAAACTAGCTGTTTTTACTATGTCTGATGATAAAAGTCCTGGTCCTGATGGATTCAGTGCTTCATTCTTCAAAACTGCCTGGGATGTAATTGGTGATGAGATGTGTAAAGCAGTGGAAGAGTTCTTCTATACTGGTAAGCTCCTTGGTGTCTTCAATTCAACTTCCATCACGCTAGTTCCTAAAATTCTAAATCCAAGGTCTCCATCAGATTATAGACCTATCTCTTGCTGTAACTGTGTCTACAAGGTTATATCTAAAATTATTGCTGCCAGAATTCAGAATGTCATTGGTTACTTGATTGATGAGGCTCAGAGTGCTTTTGTTAAGGGCAGATTGATCTCTAACAATATTCTTCTGGCGCATGAACTCTTAAAACACTATGGCAGGAAGAATGTCTCTCCAAGAGCTGTTCTTAACATTGATTTGAGGAAGGCATTTGACACTATAAATTGGAGTTTTATTAAGGCTATGCTGACAGGTTTGGGATTTCCTGATAACATGGTTAAATGGGTGATGGAATGCATCTCTACTTCCAAATTCTCCCTGTCACTTAATGGATCATTGCATGGCTACTTTGAGGGGGCTAGAGGATTGAGGCAAGGAGATCCATTGTCTCCTTACTTGTTTGTTCTTGGTATGGAGTATTTATCCAGAAAGCTTAAACTTCTCAGAGCAGACAGGCAGTTTAAACACCATCCAAAGTGTGCTAAGTTGGGTATTACTCACTTGATCTTTGCTGATGATCTATTACTCTTTTGTAGAGCTGATATGGAGTCCGTAGTCAAAATAAACACCTGCCTTCAGGAGTTTAGTAGAGTGTCTGGATTGGAGCCAAACTCCTGTAAATCCTCTGTGCTATTGTGTGGGGTTGAAGACAATACTAAAGCTCAAATATGTTCGTACCTGAAATTCCCAGAGGGAACATTGCCTGTAAGATACTTAGGCATGCCCTTGGCTTCTAAAAGACTCTCCTACTTGGACTGCTCATCTCTAATCTCAAAAATCTCGGATCAGTTTCAAGACTGGCAAAAAAGGAAGTGCTTATCCTATGCGGGGAGGATTCAACTCATCAAAACTGTTATCTTTCAAGACTGGCAAAAAAGGAAGTGCTTATCCTATGCGGGGAGGATTCAACTCATCAAAACTGTTATCATGGGAATTCAATCATATTGGACAAGCAACTATGTTCTGCCGATAAAAGTGTTGGAGAAAATTGATATGCTTTGTGCTGCTTTCTTATGGGGAAGTAAAATACATCTTGTTTCATGGCCAGAAGTCTGCAAGGATAAAAGCTTTGGAGGTTTGGGGCTGTTTTCCTCTAAGCTGTGGAATCATGCTGCGGCAATCAAGTGGCTATGGATGATACACTCTAAGAAAGACCTTTTGTGGATCAAATGGGTTCATGGAAATTACTTAAAACAACTGGAAATTTGGCAAGTTCAACCGAAGAAAAGTGATTCGTGGATGTGGAGACAAATCCTAAAGGTGAGGGATTTGGTATTGAGAAGATTTGGGAATGTGCACAACCTGCTCAGAGCTGTTACTAACTGTCATAGTAATGGAAAATTGAAAATTTCAGCTGTATATAGCATCATCTCTCAATCTTCAACAGCTGTACCCTGGGCGAAAACAGTTTGGGGTGGTTTGCATTATCCCAAGCATTCGATTATCCTATGGCTTGCTACTCTATCAAAGCTTCTGACAAAAGACAGATTATGTCGTATGGGTATATTGGAAATCAACCAGTGTGTGCTTTGTGCTGATTCTGCTAGTCAACCTGAATCTAGAGAACACCTGTTCTTTGAATGTCAGTTTTCTTCTTATGTTTGGATTAATCTGATGGCATGGATGAAGTTTACTTGGAGATCCTGCTACTGGAGTCAGGTAATGAGATGGTATAGCAACAATTTGAGGGGGATTGGGTTCATGAAAAATCTCAAGAGAATGATGTTATCTGGAGCAGTTTATTGGATATGGAAGGAGAGGAATTTGAGGATTTTCCAGCATAAAACCCGCAGCCCTGACCAGCTTATCAAGGAAATTAAGATTTCGTTACTTCTGAAAGTTCTTAATGATGGTGTTCCTGATTACTTAGGAGAAGAAATAGCACAGTTGTAAACTGTAGATAGGTTTTCAGTTTGTTGTTTGCCGGACAAAAAGTCTGGTAATTCTTGTTGCTCTTATATTTCAATACTTTGGTGATGAATAAAATTTATTTCATTTACCAAAAAAAAACACTTCATTTTGATTGAGAATTGGTTAGATGCAGCCACCTAGACTTTTTGACTATCATGTCACCCTCGTAACTACACAACCAAACAGAATAAACATGTGAAATGCATTGTAGCCTGATAGCTACAGTGCATTTCATGCAAAAACATCACAACCAAACAGGCCGCAAAAGGAAAGTAGTAAATAAAGAGAAAGTACTTTTTAGAGAAAGTACTTTTCTATTTACAAATCTTGTTTAACAACTTGAAAGTGAAATATGTACAAACTAAAAGTGGGAGCTGACGTCCACTTTATTTATATGAATTTTTTTCTTAATAGAAATACCCCTTGCAGCCCACGGGATGGGAGCGCTAACAGCACTTCCTCAGTTTCCTCATATATATATATATATATATCATACTCCTTTTAAAAGCACGAGTTTAGAAAAAACTTTTCATGGTCAATATTACTCTGCACTATTTTTTATATTTAATTTAAATTTTAATATATTCTAATTTTAATAATATCTTATCTAATTCCATGTGAACTATCTGTATCTCAATAAGTTAAAAAATATTATTTTGAATATTTTCTTTAAATCTTAATCTATCTAAATACTAACTATATCCTATATTAAGTCCATATGAACTACCTATAGCTCAACAATTTAGAAAAAATAAGTTTAAGAAATTATTTGTAGATAACATATTATAACACATGAAGTATTATAAAAACCTCAAAAGTTTAAAAAATTACATATAATAGCCTTAAAAGTTTAAAATTACATAAAACACCTTGACTTTTTAAAACTTAAAAACAAACATGAAATGTAAAAATTACAAATTTACAATTAACATCCTCAATTTTTAAAAAATTACAGAAATAACCTCAAAGTTTAAATTATAAAAAAAGGCCCTAAAATTTAGAGATTTCAAAACTTAGAAACAACATAGTTAGATTCCAGGGATTAACATTAGGCATTTAAAATTTTAAAATTTATAAAAATAACCTCAAAGTTATAAAAATTACAAAAACTCCCTCAAAAGTAAAAAATTACAAAAAATTCTAAAATTTTAAAACTTATAATCGGTACACAGCAAATTTAGAAATTATTAGCAGATCGCTAAAAATTTAAAATTTTTAAAAAACAACCTAAAATTTTAGTAATTATAAAAATACCTTTAAAATTTTAGAGTTACAAGAAACATTCTAACATTTAAAACTTACCACCAATACATTAAACATGAAAATTATAAGCACCTAGCATAAAATTTAAAACTTTTATAAAATACTATCAAAGTTTAAAAAGTTGCAAAACACACCCTCAAAAGTTCTAAATCACAAAAATCTAAAATTTGGCAAAGAAAAGATTAAATGTTCGATAGTATTACATTAAGATATATAAATTTAACTTTTAATTTAAAATTTATCATCCCTTTTTAGCATCTAAAAGTAGTCTAAATTGATTCTGGTAAAAGATAGCAATTACAATAGATTAAAACTATCTAGTTAAGGAATAAGAATTTAAAAATATATGATAGATTAAAAATTAACATTACTGTAAATTCATGGAATTGCATATAATTTTACTAATAATATTAATTGATAGAATACAAATTAATAAAAGACTATAATATAACAAGTTAGCATAATTGATTATGATGTATACATATTTATCTCTAATTTTTATAATATTTATAGAGTAAAAAAATACAAGGAGTCGTGTGTGGAGAAACTATCAGAAATTTTAAAGATACTCTTTAAAAGAACTAAGTTGTTTTTATTTCAAATGGAGAAGTGAAGGAAATAAACTCAAAATTCAGAAACCTTTAAAAGAACTAAGTTGTTTTTATTTCAAATGGAGAAGTGAAGGAAATAAACTCAAAATTCAGAAACATTCATGAATCACTGGAGAAGTGAAGGAAATAAACTCAAAATTCAGAAACATTCATGAATCACCTGAATTGACATTGATAAAAGACATATCTAGCAAAGAAGCACTGACCGAGTTCCCCTTGTAGAACATATTAAACAAATTTGTCCTAATTTCAAAAGTATTCTTCATGAAAGATATAAGAAAAATTAGTAAGTACTTATAAATTTTTATTTTATTCTTGAAATACTAAAGGAATCATAAAACTAATAAATAATTTTGCAATAGAAACTAAAGTGAAGCCGTTAATCAACTTTATTGCGAGATGTTATGGTGTTTTTATTCACCTAAGTGTAACCCTTTGCTAGCAATGGACATGTATACTTCTGCATACAATGCCCCAATCAAATTGGCGGCCCAAGACCAACAATGATTCCAACTTAGCTAACTCGCCGAGTTGATATTCCTCCATATCGATTCAAAAGGTGGTACCAGTCGACCCTCTTGTCGAAGACGACTCGCCATGAGCCCACTCGACCTATTATTCGACACCTTACGATGACGACTCAAAACACGTTACTTCTCAGTGAAGCTAGAAGAGGACTTCGACCTCGAGCTCCTCCTACTGACAACGTCGACATCATAGTTAATGCTTGGCGGGTGCCATCATGCCTCTAGTCATGATAGTCTTCATGACTCATCAGACCACGTCAGCATCGCCATGCCTCCGATCACTTCTTATTTAATACTGATGTGATCTCTCCTTCAGTCATCAGTCGACACTTGTAAAGTAGGAGATGACTCATCCGCCAGCCCATGCTTCTTCACTACCATCATGTGCTCGATCGTAATGACGGTTCTACCCTTTCGATACCACTATAAATAGAGGTACTATTCTAACGCTAA